AATTAACTTACCGTACGGCATTTGTCTCCCCTTTCAAAGGTGTATGTTGAATTCTGCCTTCTTAAAAAATTAAAACAAATTTTATGATACTTAGAAATTTCTTTCCACCACAAAATATTTTGTGGGGCTGCTGAAAAACTTTAGAGCAAAGGTAAAACAACATGTGACTTTAAAAACAAGGAGCTTCAACCGTCATTTGGGTCATTTTCAAGGTTCTATTTTCTACCTTCTTGCATTGGCCATGATGGATAATAATTAGAAGGAAAGAAATTTAAATATATCCTATCCCCCTTGGTACAGGATTTCTATAACAGGAAATATAAAAAAGTAATCAATACTACATAAAATTTTACTAGTGTAGGTTTGAAACAGCCATGTTGGTAAAAGGAGGCAGCTCTTTGTACCTCAGTGTTCAAAACAATTATTATAGGAACACTACAGTATTTTGTGGCCACTTCTTATTCTGTTTAATTTTTAATAATATCTGGAATACTTAAGAGCATCTGGGTTCCATTAAGAATTTAAAATCACTGAAGTCTCTGAATACATCCACATTCCACAGGACATGTGCCACGTGGACATTTGTGTTGCCCTGGGTTCCATCTTTTATTGGCTGGTGTCTCTCTACCACACAGGATAGTAGTACTCTTTCAGTATGTTAAAAACTGTATTTGCTTTTAACTGTGGAATTCTAGTTGAAGATTCCTTCCCAAGTTGTGAATACACACACCCTTAGAAAGGATGCCAAATGTTCTGTTCCAAGTTACACGTGGCCAAAAGTGTTCCAGATGTTCAGAATCAACCATATTAGCTGTGTTTACACAGCCAGGAAAATGCATAACTTCGGAACCCTATTCGTGTGGAAAATTACAGTAGTTTCTTTCATTCATTTAGTTCCGTGTGTGTGGATAATAGGGCAATTGTATTAATTTGACCTTGGGACCTCACCCTTGTCCTTCAGCTCTTATTATAGTCCTTACCGTATTTTACATGTGATCAGCAGTGGTCTTTGCTTCTCTCCCCTGTGGTTTCTTCTGTATTAATCATTACTTCATCTTATAGAAACTTCCTGAGGGCTGGGGCTATGCTTTAAAAGGTCTTTGATGCCTGGCACAATTTCTAAGAAACAAAACAGTTTTCTAGAGTTCTGGAATCACCGTATTTTCCTGGTTCTATGAGCCACATTGTTTTCCACATTTTGAACAACTCAGAACTTCAGATTTCTGTAATAATGTCAGTGGAATATTTCAGCTGCTGGGAGAAGAGAAGTTGAGACAGTTTTCTTTGCCAGCTCAGTGTTCCCCTTCAGCTCCACGGGCAACCCTGTGAACAGTCACCTAGTTACATTATTAGCACTCCAACTGTTACATTTTTAACTTAAATTTGGATTCCTTGTTGTCACTGAAAATGCCTTCAAAAAGATTGCTCAGTGAAGTAACTCAAAACCACTAGGGAAGAAACAGATGGCTTGTGCAATTAAAGGCAACAAGGCCAGAAAGAATGTAAAGGCCAGAATTCCTTTCCGTCACCCTGGGCAGTTTTTAGCGGGTCTCGTTTCCTCCAATTAGCCTCTGCTCCAGAGATTGACCCTAAGAAGGCCCAGCCTCTGCAAGGGGGGCATATATGACCGTAAACCTAACATCTGTAAAAAGAAGCAGATCAAATGAGCAGGGGACACTTTGAGGTGTCAGATCTAGGCTGGACTTGGGAAACTGGGCGAAGGAGGTGCACCGTTGTTACCTGAAGCCAAAGGTCTGGATAAGGATACTCAGGAAGAGCAACAGGAACGATCAGAATTTTATGCCCGTGGGAAGGTGCAGAGATGGGGCTCTCCAACCAGGATACTGGGAGATGGAGCCGCACGCTGTGCTTGGCCACTAGCACAAGAGCAGGAAGTATTCCACGTGCCTAGTACAGGTAAATCTATTTGAAGAACAGGGTTGTTACTGGAACTCTTGAAAAGTGACAAGATGACATGGCTTTTTTCGTTCTTAAATCCTAAGAGCCGATGCAGGATGTGTGACCTGCTCTACAGTGGGAGGCGCAAATACCGTCTTATCTCGTTTCTTAAATCAAGTTAGAACTGGTTCCCAGTGGTCTTCCAGGTAACTCTTCCTGGTTTCCCCAATCGAGCTGCAACAGACCTTACGGCATTACTTTTCCATCTGCACATCCTGTCCATTTCCCCTGGGACCTCCCTTCCCAAGCCCCATCTGAGTAATTTACTCCTCTGTCAGCCTCAGAGCTGTTTTCTGGGGACTCTCCATCACCATCACCCTGGTCCTTACACCCCTGGGTCTCCTGCACCCCTTCCTTCACACACCCTCCTGGCTTTGGAAGAGCTACATCCTCTAGTAGCTTCCTGAGAAAAGGAGTGTGAAAGGTAAAGTGTTTAAGGCTTTGCATTTTTCAAGATTTTATTCTCAATGACTAAAGAAGATAAAATCATGGAAAGTGGCAGTTTGGAAAGCCAACCTTGACTGAAGGATTAGTGTTGAGATGTGAAAGACGAGTCTTCTTTTGGTTATACTTTGCTCTGATGCTATTCTTACTATTTCCTTTGAACAGCCAGTTCTTCATAAAGTCATACGCGCATTCATTTAAAGCTTTGCATTCTCCAAAAGCATACACTAAAAATAACAGGGCATATGGGATAAACAGGGTTGGGGCAGACCACACCACCCAACTTTATAACAGGAGCACCAACAAAAACAACAAACAACTATTAAAAAAAAAGCTCAGTCAATCTCCACTAGAGCCTGCCCTATGCCGCCTTTGAACTTGGGAGCTTGCATTTTCCTCTTTAAGATATAAGGGCATTTGTTTCTAAGTGACCAGGTTTCTCAAAATTAGAAATCTGATTTAGGAACCTTCATCTTTTTTTTTTTTTTTAAACACAAAGGAAAATACTTTTGCAACTTCCTTGTCTTCATGGCTTTACCAGATAGCTTAACGTTGGGAAATGCATAGCAGTTCCTGAAACCACTAACCCAGCCCTTGCTTTCACTAAAGGAAGGTACCTCTGTAGGATATCTTTCTTAAGGTGTTTGCATATTACTATGGCTTGCTTTTTAATTGTGAAGAAAGTTTGCTCCCGGTCTCTTGGAAACCCCATATCAGCATCATTACACTGATATCACCCCGCATTTATCAATTGTGTATGAGGTAATGCCCATTCCCAAAACACATGTGATAGCAGAACAAACCATACGTTTTGTCCTTTGAAAGACGTCAGGGCAAACACCACCCCTAGAACCTTAACACTGTTTTGGTTTGTTTTTTGCATCCTGTTTTCTCAATCCTCTCTCCATGTTTCTTTTCTTTCTTGCTCTACAAGCCAGAAAAAAGAAAAAAGAAAAAAGAAAAAAGGCTTGATTTAGTAGTATTGTGTTCAGCTGTAAACAGAAACCTAAAATAAAGTAGCTTAAATAAGATAGACATTAACTTTTTCCTCACATAAAAGAAATTCAGAACTAAGATCATCTCATGATACAAAATTCCTGCTGTGCTCCAGCCATCACATCCACATCCCAGACAAAAAGAAGAGAAAAGAGCAGATGGGCCTAAAAGCCCCTCTCTTTTTATGAAGTGTTGGGGAATGGGAAATTTCCCCCTCTGCCCCTCTCGAGTTCTTGTGGCTAGACCCAATAAAACTAGCACAAGACAGATTAACAGGAGAAAAAGAAGAATTTTCATCTTGCACACAGAGGCCTCATAGAAATGGGGCCTAAGAAGTGGCCAAAGCAGGCAGCTTTTATACTTCTTAGACAAATAAACAATACATTTGTGAGGAACTGACCGGACAAATAAGCTTAGATTTGGGCGCCCAATTAGTGAAGAATGTAAACTCAGTTTGGGCTTTGTGGTCGTCAATTACAGAAGTAACGAGGTTTATTTACAGAGGCTTCTCAGCCCTGAGATCCAGATCTTTGGTGGCAAGGGTGTCTTTCCACCTCCATATGCAGGGAGAGCACCTTTCACATGAGAGTATATTTCCTGCTTTTGGGTAGACGGAAGGGCGGGTCAGAGTATCCCTCCCGCATTGGCCATTTCCTAAGTAACTTGAATTCAAAATAATCAATATGCCACGTGAGGCACACTTACCCAACAGAAGCCTTCTGAGAAGCTTCAGAGACCACTTAAATTATATCCCACTGGCCACATCTAGTTGCAGAAGGGTCTAAGAAACAGCGTCTCGCAGCCAAGCACATTTCCTGGGGTTTTGCTATTAAAGGAGAAGGGAGAATGGACCTTGACAGGCAATTGGCATTCTTTGTCACAGTATTATTTCAAAATATTTAATGCGTATTGAGCTTTTATACGCCAGAAACTGTCAAAGGTCAGTAAAACTTGATTTCTGTCAGTAGAGATAATGAACATGTGCAAAGTTAGTCATAAAAATTCACGGTAAGTCACACAACGAGGATTTAAGCCCAGTCATGGGTGTACCGCCAAAAACCGCATTAGTTTAACTTTTCTGTTTATATAGAGAGATTGCCACTTGATTTCCAGTCACAGCCAGGGGCAGAAAAATCATCTTGAAGCAGATTTTTCTTACACAGGAGGAGGAAGAACCAGTTCCAGTTCAGTTAGAGAAGTTAGAGACTTCTTGGAGGAGAGGAAGCTATACTCTAATCCTCTAAGATTTGCAGTTATGGCGTCTTCTAGAATCAAAATGATGACTTAGATAAAATTTCAGGACTAGGTATAGAAAATAGGGCCCCCCAAACAGAGTTACTGTAAAGTTAGATGGGGGACCAGCTCTGATACTGAGTCAGAGAGAGAAGTGGTGAACGGATGGTGCATCTGGGCCCCGTGAGGTCGGGTCCTGGGATGGGCCCAGTCTCCAGAACGCACCTTGTGCTTGGGAAGCACCCACCCACCTGAAAGAGCCTGTTGTTTCTAGATGTAGGAGCTGGGGTGCAGAACTGTAAGGACATAACCCTGGAGATTTCCTTCCCCTGTAGACCCACGGCCAAGAGTCCCTGGGGGAGCAGCCAGAGCAGAGGAATGAGCCTGGAGGACTAGGCCTTCCTCCCAGCTTGCAGGCATGGCTCCCTCAGGGCACGGGGCCCTTCTTTGCTTGCTTCACTTCCCCCACCTTCCTGAACAATATTTCATCTCTCACCAGCCCCAGTTCCATGCCTGGACCGTTCTGCATTTCCAGCAGCCAGTAAGACGCAACAGCGCTGTTCCACGGAAGCGCACGCAAACCTCCACGCTGCCCCATCTGTGCAGTGACGGGCACCTGTCCGTTCTCTTGAGTCTGGGGCAGGGAAGGACGAAGCAGGTTTACCTGAACAGCTTTGGCCGGTTTGGCTGGGACGACCTTTCACTGAAGATGGCATGGAGAATAGGTAACCCGCACCCAAAGATCACTACTGCTAGAGAAAGATGCCACCTGCCTTAGCTTCCTGTTGCTGCTGTAGCAACGTATGACAAACTTAGTGACTTAGAACAGCACAGATTTATCATCTTGCTGTTCTGGAGGTCAGAAGTCAGAAATGGGTTTTATGGGCTGAACTCAGGGTGTTGGCAGAGTTGTATCCCTTGTGGAGGCTCCGGGGGAGAAGTCATTTCCTTCCCCTTCGGGAGGATGCCAGCATTCCTTGACTCAGGGGTCCTTCCTCCATCTCCAGTGCATCCCTCCAAACTCTGCTTCTGCCACCACACCTACCTTTCCCCTCCCTCTTATAAGGACCCAGGGATGATGCAATAGTCTCTCCATCTCATGATCATTAACTTAACAGCACCTGCAAAATCCCTTTCCAATGTCAGTGGTGCTCTCTTGCTTCTTGTATTTACTTATTTGGGCTGGAGCTGCTGTGAAACGTGCTTTGCCTTCAAATCAGCTGCTCTGCCTATGCTTTGGGCTAACACTTCCTTCAGGCCTTTTTTCTGGTGGGGCAAAAAGCAGCTCAGCACCTGTGCACGTTGCCTGTGCACATTCTCACGTTCTGGGCATTGGAACGTGGACATCTTGGGGAGGTCGTTGCTCTGGCTACTACACCACCCTAGCACATGTGGCCTCTATGAAGAGAGATTGTTTAGCTTCCTGCCTTGGACACCACTCCCCATGGCCACCTGTGACTCAACCGGCAGGCCGTCTGCTGCTGGGAATTCACTGAGGCAGGTCCTAGTGGAACAGACCCCTCCCCTCTGAGACACTCAGAAGCACCTAGGCAACCTGCACAGGTGCCGAGCTGCTTTTTGCCCCACCAGAAAAAAGGCCTGAAGGAAATGTTAGCCCAAAACATAGGCAGAACAGCTGATTTGAAGGCAAGCACATTTCACAGCAACTCCAAGTGCAAATAAGTAATACAAGAAGAGAGCGCCACTGACACTGAAACATTAATTTCCAATAGCTAATACATAAATATACAGATATATATTTTAGCTGTTAAAAGTAAGTGAACATCTGAAAGAGCAGGTTGCTTCTAGGTGTGAGAATTGGAGTACAGAACTATTAGGACATAATCCTAGAGGTTTGCTTCTATGTATATATATTCTCCTTATATATAATTTCAATAATATATACATTATTTCAAATATACATAATTTCAAATACAGATATGTGCATATATACCTACATATCTTCTATGCCACAAGAGAATGAAAATTAAATATAGAGGGGAAAAAAACCCTCAAGCCAATAAAAGTAGGAAGGGGATAAGAAATAAGAAAGTGATAACTGGAAAATAAAAAGTAGAACGGACAGATATGAGAAACTAAAATAAACATGCAAAGGATAGTTTCATTCCGTTAAAAGACAGAAGCTCTCATTCATACTGTGATAAACAAATTTCAGCTCTTTGGTCTTTAGAAACCATGCATTAAAAATTTTTTAATTGTAAGAATGGAAAAGATATTCAAGGCAAATACTGATATAAGGAAGATAGGTTAACAACATAAATATAAAACTAATTTGACTATACGGCATAAAGCTTTTACTAATGAGATAGTCATTCCTTAATCATGAACCTATTCATTTGTCCCTGGGTATCCACTGGGGACAGGTTCCAGGACCCCTCATGGGTACCAAAATCCACAGATGCTCAAGTCTCATATAAAATAGCATAGTATTTGCATATAATCTACATACATTCTCCCATATACTTTAAATCATCTCTAGATTACTTGTAATACCTGATACAATATAAATGCTATGTAAATAGTTATAAATACAATGTAAATGCTACGGCAGTGTGCAAATTCAAGTTTTGCTTTTGGAACTTTCTGGAATTTTTCTTTCAAATATTTTCGATCCAGGCTAGTTGATTCCACAATTGGAAAACCTATGGATACTGAGGGCTAGTTGTATAGACCTATCAACACAGCTTCAAATATACAGCGACCAAAAATTGACGGAATGATGAGGAGAAATTGACAAATCCTCAACCACAGTAGGAAAGTTTATTATAACTCAGAAATCAAAATATCAAAGGATATAAAAAAATTAGTATAATTAATAATTCTTATTAAAAGAGATATAGAACCTACTCTTAACATGTAAAAACATATAGTACTTTATTGTGAAATCCACATGGAGTACTCACCAAACTGATGATATGTTAGGCCACACTGAAAAATTTTAAACAGAGCCCTAAAAGCAGAATTCATAAAAGATCACATTTTCTGACCACAATGCAGAAAATGTGGAAATTCACAACAAAATAATAATAAATCAAAACAAAACACACCTCTTCCTTTTGAAGATTTACAATCATCCTTTTAAACAGTTAACCCTTGAACAATGTGGTGCTGACCCCCAACTCAGTCAAAAATCTACGTGTAACTTTTGACACCCCCAAAACTTAACTACTAATAGCCTCCTATTGACCAGGAGCCTCACCGATAACATAAACAGTAGATTAATACATATGTTGTGTGTTATATGTATTATATACTGTATTCTTGCAATAAAGCTAGAGACAATGTGTTAAGAAAATCATAAAACACATTTACAGTGCTGTACTGTATTTATGGATACAGTAAGTTTACGTCCTGTTTACAAAATGAATCATCTGTCAGTACCTCTACCAATAGTCTTGGATGATACATATAACATGCGGTGTTTTGTATAATATGACAAAAATACTCATACTTACAAGTATGACGATTCATGCACTGATAATGAAGCAGCAGCAATATGACTGCTCTATTGTAGCCATGTAATCAGTACGATTGCTTCACAGTAGCTCAGCCTGTACACTAATGAATCTTTATAAAAATTTCATGGCACACAGAATTAGTCATATTCATAATACAGTATTGGAAATACTGTTACACTTTAAAAAAGAACACTTACTCGTGATGGTAGGCTGACATGCAGTTCTTCCAATTATGACAGAGAGGCATACTGTACTGTAATTCTTTGAAAGCAAAGTTATAAAACAATAAGAAAATATTAACTATCACTTACCATATGCCTATGTAAGGATAGGCTATCCACTTCAATACAAGTCTTGCACACTTTGTTCTCCATGTATATTTTTGTATATTTATTGAAAAGAATCTGTGTATAGGTGAACCCACACGGTTCAAACCCTTATTGTTCAACTCTTGGGTAAAGAATAGAAACGAGGGTTTTAAATTTACTTAGTGTATTATTTTTCTGTATCAATTAAACATAAAAACAAAACCCATACCAAATATTGATAGTTACTAACCATTTTTAACAAAGTTGATGGACTTGATTTTTATCATTCATTATTCAGATTAGAATCAAACTTTACTTGCTTAGTCTTACACATTTTTGTTTACATAAACCAGGGAAACAATTTGATAGCAATCTACCGAATAAACCAGAATAAGAATTCACAACTTATTATGTGCCAAAAAGATTTAGGAAAAAGGGAAACTTCGCTTTGCCCAAATGAACTATCTAGGAACTAAGCCACAAAGTGCAAAATTAATGGTCAAGTAATACCGAACATGCAAGATGAAAGAATGTATAGTAAACATAACTTAAGATCTGGCAATCTTTTTTCTTTTTTTTTTTTTTTTTTGCGGTACGCGGGCCTCTCACTGCTGTGGCCTCTCCCGTTGCAGAGCACAGGCTCCGGAAGCACAGGCTCAGTGGCCATGGCTCACGGGCCCAGCCGCTCCGCGGCATATGGGATCTTCCCGGACCAGGGCACGAACCCGTGTCCCCTGCATCGGCAGGCGGACCCCCCAACCACTGTGCCACCAGGGAAGCCCTCTGGCAATCTTTTAAGTTGCTCCTTTATTTTCCTTTTCCAGTATGTTTTCCTGATCCTCTTGCTCTTGATAACAGCAACTACTCTTCAAGGCTGGACTTCCATGTATCATATCTAGAAGAGACTCTTCCCTCTCCGAGAGGTGGCATGACTTTTAACTATCTGATATACCCTTATACTTAGGAAAGACTGAGTGTGTACCAGCCTCCCCTTACCCGGCGGCCTCTATGTAGAGAAGCAGTCAGGGACTCTATGTATTAAAAATGCCCAGTAATATGTTTAGGAGGTACCTGTGGGAAGAGGCTGAGCTGTATGGGAGCAAACCCACCTCCAAAGAAGTGATCAAACTTTTCTTTGAAGTAACTGATAAGAGGAATCAATGCGCTGAAACGAATAATGTTGGTAATTGGTGTCTACACATTCAACTTTAAAGCAATGTCTAGGATGAGTGGCAATATAGCCAACAATATTTGAGCATAAACTTTTTTTTTAATTGGAGTATAGTTGCTTTACAATGTCGTGTTAGTTTCTGCTGTACAGCAAAGTGAATCGGCCACATGTACACAATATATCCCCTCTTCCTTGGATCTCCTTCCCATCCAGGTCACCACAGTGCACTGAGTAGAGTTCCCTGTGCCACACAGTAGGTTCTCACCGGTCATCCATTTCATACATAGTAGTGTATATATGTCAATCCCAATCTCCCACTCCATCCCACCCCCTCTTCCCCCTTGGCATCCGTATGTTTGTTCTCTACATCTGTGTCTCCATTTCTGCTCTGCAAACAAGTTCAGTTATACCATTTTTCTAGATTCCACATATATGCGTTAACAAGTATAAATAAATTT